CAATGTGTTTTATTGTTTGATTCATTGCTTTCTGATGCATCACATATATTGAATGTATCATGGGTTTCTGTACCCTATATAAAGACTTGACCCCACCTTAATAAAATGTTATTGTTTTTGCTTTGTCTGAAGTACTTGTCAGGGTGTGTGCCTGAAAAACCCATTTTGCAGAGATGTGCAGTTATTTCTCAAATTTAGGGCCGAGGTTCTTTCCTGTTCTACATACTTGGGTGCCTGAATTTTAAAGGCAACAGCATTATTTTTCCTAGTGCATTCACTATCACCATTGCAGAATTGGTTTAGTATCCCAATATTAAAAATGGCTCTCGTAATTGAAAATGCCAAATACACAGGTAGTCCTCAATTTACGACCACAATTTGTGTTGCTAAGTCACAGTTAAGTGGGTTTTGCCCCATTTTATGACCTTTTTGCCATAATTGTTAACATTGACTTAGGTCGCAAAAGGTGATCACATGACCCTGGGACACTACAAGTCTCTGTTGCCAAGAGTCTGAATTTTGATCATGTGACCAGAGATGCTACAACAGTCCCTATGAAAAATGGTCATAAGTCACCTTTTTTCAGTCCTGTTGGAACTTTGGTCACTAAATGAATGGTTACAAGTTGAGGACTACTTGTACAACTTTAGAGAAACAGAAAATGATTGCTCCCCTTCACCCTGGAAAGAAAGCCTTTTAGAGAAATAGTGTTCTACATAAGCACCCAGAAATGTGTATGATTGATACTTGGCAGAGGTTTCAGAAGGTGAATGAAACAATGGAACAACGTAAGCTGCTCACAAGGATCTAGAGCAGGGATTTCTTCAGGTTGAATTTTACTAGGTTAAAGGTTGCGTGCAGGTAAAAAATCAAGTATCTAATTGCACCTTTGTTGAAAACTGGAAGTCTCTTATTTTCAAAGAGCAGGTGAAAATACCCGAAAATCAAAGAGAATTCTGGAGCTCAAATGGGTATCTAGTGATTGACAGTGTAACACAGCATATAAAAACAGTGACATTTAGTTAAACCAGATAAACACATTTTTCCCTCTGCCCTGCCCTTCACAAAAGATTGGTATGCAACTTATTGCTGTGTTGTCTGATTTCCCTACCATTCTAAGTTCAGCTCTCAGCCTGCTACACTACAGCTTCTGTACATTATGAAGTGTAGCCAGATATGCAATAAGTTCCCATTAGAGTTAATCAACGGCTTCCAATAAAACTTAATTGGCATCCATTTCTTATTCTTTTACTTCACCTCTTTACTTCCCCATATCATTTCCCCCAGAAAACCTCCTTCAGCAGGTTCTGACCAGTTCTGGAGAACTGGTAGCGGAAATTTTGAGTTCAGAGAACTGGCAAATACCACCTCTGGCTGGAGATTTTGCAGTATCCTTTCCCCTGCCACGCCCACCTAGCCACACCCAGAGAACTGGTAATAAAAAAATTCAAAACCCACCACTGATTTTCTCCATGTATAGTGGCCAACTAGAAACATCTATAAGAAAATAGCTAAGCTCCAAGAGCACCAAGGACCCTTCATGTCACCCAAGCTTCAAATATTCTCCTTTATTGAGCCATTTCTACCTGCGGATTACTATTCTACATGGCTTTTGCTCAGATTTCAATCATGTAGGTAAGAGACATTAATGAAGACCACATTTTCAAGTCTTTCCATGGACTGGCACAACCATACAAAGCCTGTGTTCCATCGGTATAGCATTGATTCAGTGGAGTAAGATTCTCAGCATGGAATTTCTTCACTTCCTGACAATTACATATTATAGGGCAGGTAAGATTTATTTGAGTGATAAATGCTTCTTTTGTATGATAAAGAATAATGAACTTATCTGGGGCAGTGGGTCAGAACTGTTTTGTAAGTGTATAATTCCATTTCTTTGCATGTAAACTTAGGATTTACATAAGTCTTTAAAATATCTACAATCATATCTCAGGGAATTCCAACATGCCAAATTCATAATTTAGGAACTTCTAAAGAAATATGTTGGAGGAATAATGTACTGACACTTCGGAGAAAGCAGCTTTTTATAGAGAAATGTTTTCTGAGTCAGCTCTTTTCCTAATTCTAAACTAAAAATGCAATCTCAGCTTTTCTCTGCTATATTGCTTTAAGGTTTATGTATTCTTCAGCTGGTCACTATTGTTAATAGTCAACATTTTGTATCATTATATAGCTTATTTAAGAAGATGATACCATCACTTATTTTTATGATACATTAAATTCAATAAATTTAACTTAGGACGAAAAATGCAATATTGATTTTGGCCATAGTCACGAAACTATTTTGTCTCTTGGATAGATCCTGGATTGTTTTATTATGAGTTACTCTAAGCTTTGGAGCAGCAAAATATATGTGTTTTAAGGTTGGTAATGATAAACCTTATAAACACATATTCATATACATATACACACGTACACACATCATATGCACGCATCCACAGATGTACATATCTTTAAAGAAAGAAAGCAATACAACTGTTTTCTGAGTATATTTTTTTCTCTGGAATGGTTACTTTTCCAAATTTCAATTCAAACTTTTTTTTTTTAAATTTTAAACCATTCCATGTTATCTCTTTATTGCAAAAAGTCAACATGCATCTTAGAAATTCAAAGTGTAATCAATAAAACAAACATTACATGTATGAATTTAAATGTATAAACAGTTAGAAATCCAACAATATCTCCTAATGTACTATTACACAAGTTCACAATCTTGTAAAAACTATAATACAAGTTAATGTACATTGAGAGGAATTTAATATTCCTTTTCACATGATTTCATTAAAAATGTTGAAGCATCTCCACTGTAAGTGGGCGATTATGGTTTCTTTGTTTTTGAAGTTTCAGATGCTGTGCATTTTTATATGTAAAGATTAAAAAATACACCACAGTTAAACCAACAGTTTATATAGTAGTAGCATTAATATTTGTAAAGCTTTAAGGGGATGATTTACTGAGCATTTACATTATGACATTCTTCTTAATGCCAATAGAGTGATACATTGCTAAGTGGTTAGAAAGGGATATTTTTTTATATATATTTATATAGTAAAGTTTTATTAGAATACCTAGCTTTCAAGGTACTTTGCGGGTGTATTTATACTATGCTTTTTGTTATGGCTTATGATTATGAAAAGGACAATTTCACAGCAGGTGGTACCAGAAGTTACCCAGTAACACAATTGTTTTTTTTAAACCAAGTTCTAATACACAACACAGGGAGTTTCATAGCTACATCAAAATGAAGGTCACTTTGAACTAGTTTCCTATTTTCTTTTTAAGTGAGTTACCACTATGTGCCCATTACTTACATCCTCAGTAACACAATAGTATGCTTTCAATACATAAATTTAGGGGCACAACTCAGTTTTGTGCTTCTAGGCTGAGAAATTACATTTAAGTTGTCATTAGAGGATTCATGTGTGTCAACTTATACTGAAAAAAACAGGAAAGAAAGCAAAGATGGGAAAAAGTTTAATAAATCTCTCTGTTAGCCTCATCTCTTCTCCATGAAAAAAGCTAACACTTTTGAGTAAAGATATTCATTCTCTCCTGAACAGCATGCTAACAAAAGTTATCTAAAACCATATGAAAAGGAATCCCATCCAGTCTAATTGTTCCAAAAGCTACGGAAATTTCTCTTACAGCTTCGTTCAGTCAACTGTAATCTTCTAGATACAAAAATACAAGAATTCTTATGGAAATCTAGATGCTGGTAGTTTTTAGTACACAAAAAAGCAAAAATATTTACAAAATTATACAGTTCTAAGAAAAAACCCTGTACAATATATATATATA